GAATTTGACCAAATATTAAATTACTGTTATATATATTACTTTGTCTTTTTTTGACATTTTGTCAGAATCATGAAGTTACAATTTGAAGATGAGTTGATGATAAAAAAATTAAGCTTAAATCATTCTATTTTTTTAATTTTTATTTAATTAGCCGGACAGTCTAATGTAATTGTAAAATAACTCCCTTTTCTTCATAATAGTTTCAATTCTTAATAATTCAATTATTCTATAAAAAAATTAGATTGTTATTAATTTAAGTATAATTTAGTGATAATATAATAAAAATATACATCAAATACATTTTATAATTTTGAAATAATAAAACTTTAAATTTTAATAAAAATAATTTATTTATAACACTTTAATATGTATCTTTGAATAAAACTGCAAGTAACATCACTTTTTAATATTTTATACTAAAATAATACTTTTGACACTTCATTAAAATAAAAAATTAGTCATGTAAATTTATTTAAAGAAATAAGATTTCAATAATTCTTTTACTTATAAAATCTAAACATGAGATTCTGTCTAAACAAGTTACTGACAGAATGGGTACTATCCTCCTATGTTTAAGGAACGTAGCAAATTTGAGAAAGGCGTGAAGTTGGTATTTTAAAGATAAAAGTTTTATTAAATAGGTGAAAAAAATTGAACCACTAAATTATTCTTCAATAAAAATAAATTTTAAAATATTTTCTAACTCAATTATTTCTTAAAATAATTTAATATTAAGTTAATATTTAAAAATCTAAAATTAATATAACATTAAATTCATCTTAAAAAATTATAAAATTCCATATGAGTCTTTAAAAGGTTAAAAAAAGAATATTTAAGAATTTAACTTGATTATAATTTTTTCTAAAAATATTTAAAATTTCATCAAAATAATATTTAAAAAGCGGTGGGAAAAATTAATAACAAAACTTTAGAGAACTAATTTGACAATGATTTAAATCTTAAAAAAATAAATTTAATAACCTAAATATTTAAAATATTTATTTAATAACACTTTTATATTTAAAGTTCTAAATTAAAAATGTTCAGAAACAACTTCTTCAGAAAAACTACTAACTTTTATATTTAATGGTTCATCCAGTCAATGTTATTGTAGCCAAATTATTATTATTATGTCTAAAACTATTACATTAAGCTTTCGACAAATTTAGATTAAGTTAGATAAGATTATTGGAGACGATATATAAAGCACTTTGAGAAAGATGATCCCATATGAATCTGTCTTTGAATATATGATGAGCTTTGATAATTTTTATTAACTGGTTCTCAGGCCTGCAAAGTTAGCAACATACTGCCCCTTACGCAGAGTATGGCGAAAGTAAAGAACCTAATCATGTTAACATGGTTGTCCTAGCTTAGGGACCTAGTCTTGTTGCATGGTTGTCTGAACCACAAGATTTTCTTTGTTTTCAATTTACTAGTATTACTGCTATTTCACTCCCTTTGACCTTATTCAAATTCAATAATCATCTATGTTATGGATTATGACCAAGACAAATTCTAAATTTTAGGCATCAATCGATCAATTTGGATAGGCATCTCTTCATTTAAATTAATGGTTTTTGAACAAGACAAATTCATATTCTCTTTTATAGGCAACAATAGATTAAGATTTTACGCTCCACATAAATAAATACATCGAAAACTAGCACAGTTCCTTTTCTTGGTACAAGTATTTATTAATTTATGTGAATTTTGAAAATATAAATTAAAAGAAAAAATTTTAAAATTATAAAAAGAACATGCTATTTAAAATGAGTTTTGTTAACCTTAACACTTAAGACAAATTAATAATAATAAAATTTTATTAAAAATAAGTATTTATTGTATTTTTATAACTTCAATATAATAACTATATATTTTTTTTATAATTTTTTTTATTTATGAATGCTTAAGTTGAGATTAATAAAATCTATTTAAAATTTAAATTTGAGAAAAAAAGTTGAGATGATGAATCATTTTCTAAAAATTGATAGTATAATAAAATATATTTTTAATATTTTGAATCACGTATATTCTTAAGAGAAAGTGAGCTTATTGAAGTAAAAAAAAAATTTACATTATTCTAATTTAATATATATGAGTTTATAAAAACTAAAATTTTGTATGATTAAATTTTAATCAAAATAAACCTTTAACCAATAATATTTTTTAATGTATTAATGTCTAATCAAGAATAATTTAACAGAAAAGAATAAGAATATTTTGAATTGTTTAAAAATATTTAGGAAAAAGTTTAATCAATGAAAAATTCTAATAACTCAATTCATAAAATGCTACAACAACCTCTTTTTAGATTTATATATAAAGTAATATTTTATATTCTTTAATTTTTATCTGTAACAATTTCTTGTACACGCTAGTTCTTTTTCCTATTAATTCATGGTGCACTAATTTTTTAAAAACCACTTATTAATTTGGAGTGTAATATTAATTTCGTCTTCACAACAACTCGAATCAAAACAAACCTCTACCCAACAAAAAGAAAGTCTAGACTCAGGTTTTGATTCGATTTTTTTTCCCCCGAAGAATGATGCATTGGCACAATTATTATTATCTCTGTTCCAAAAATTTCAACTCTTTTTCCTGAGAAAAATTTTATGCACAGTCAAGATTGGAACTTCGTCAACGTTATATGATTAAAAATTCCCCCTGGTTACTTATACAATTTGTGCATTAAATGTAATATAGAAAATGTTGGACAGTTTCCCATTCATTGATTTTAAAATTGTCTTATTGCTAGTGCCCCTAAAATTGGACTAATGGCTGTGTTTAATTACCAATTTTCAAAGGCGTGTGGCACGGTCGTAATTCCTTGTGTTTCTACCTAGCTAAACTATTTATATAAGAATATTCCTTTTCCTATGGAAAAAAGAGAGAGAATAAGAAAAAGTAAAAGTGTGATTTGCGAACTGTGAAGCTTGAATAAAGGACACCATAAGGCATCTTTGTCTCCTAGATCATTTAAGTAATGGAAAAATCTGTAAAATTAGTTACGTGTTTACTACTTATTTTGAATTTGAAGCAAATAACAGTATCTCATGAAAGTTGGCAAGCTTTACCATGATAAATAAATAAAATACACTATGATTTTGCTTGAAAATTGAAAGAAATTCTGTATGAGAAGTTATGAGATTTGTCATTTATCTTTTAGTGTGTGTGGATGAGGGGTTGGAAATTTTATTTTAAATAATTTTCATTTCATTAAAAAAATTCAGGTGAAATAATTTATGTTTATGGCAATCAACAATAACCTCACCTAAATCTTCTCCGGTTGATAGTTTTCCTATTAAGGGATTAAAATATGTTTTTGAGCTTGACGTGTTAAAAAAAAGGACTAGAGAGGAGGATACATTTTCATTTTTAATATTTTTTTTTTCCAAAACTCTACTCTAAGATGGAAAACTTGTATAACAATTCTATCTGCGGCATACATAAGTACACAACAAGAATAAAAAAATTAAAAATATTTGAAAGTGTAAATGTTATTTACAATTTTTTAAATAATTCAAAATCTTATGTATATTTATACTGTATGTTTATAGGCCCACAGTATACCGTACTTTGTATAAATAACACAGTTCATGAATTAATGAGCATAACAGTGACTCAGTGAGGTGGTTAGTTCGAAAATCACGGGGCAGAAGCACCCTGCCCCAATACTTTACTCCAAATCACTGTAGCCGAGTTAAAGCCCCGAAAATAGTTATTTTGTAATCAAGCATCAATTAAAAATAATAACTTGGGAGGATCAAGTAGTTGTGAGCAAGTAAAATAGAAAATCATGTCTTACGGAGATAATATGCTGATTGATCTTAAAAGACTGAAGATAATTTTTCATTTGGAAAAATACATGCAATGATTATTGTCTTATTATGTTTTATTATTTCTGAAATTTCTTTTTGGCCTAATATTGTGCTTCACATTATTACATGCATTCAAAATCATAAAATAATTAATGGTTAATTCAAGATTTGTGCAACAAATTAAAAATACCATCATAAAGCGATTGTGTCATCAAAATGGTAATAATAATGTGATTAAAGAAAGATTCGCCATTAAAAAAAGAGAGCAGAATATATTGTGAAATTTATACATCTTTATTATTATATGTCACCGGAGGTCATTACTGAGGACGAGGTACGTTTGCATTTGAATCCGAAAGTCACACCTATGATCAATTTTTGGCATAACAATCCGCAGAGTGAGAATTAGCTTTTGGAAGAACATGAGTAACAGTGACGTGCCAATACTAGTTTGGGATTTGCTAAATTCAGGCAATGACGCCAGGTTTAAACGTCCGAAAATAATATTTTTTTATGTATTTAATTTAAATACAGAGAAAGTATAAAAATTTATGTAATAAATATGTTTAACAAGTTATTATTATTATTAATTATTTAAGATTTATTAAGGTTAACAATCACGTATTGTCTTCGTATATAAAGGGTTCAAAACATAGTAAAGTTCTAACTAAGAACTTTTCAAAATTAATTACTTAAATTTATTTTCAATAATTGAAGTTAAGTTTTTTCAATTCCTTTGGTCTCATATTAAATTTATAAAAAATATTATTAAATACCTTTAAAATTAATTTGAACACTTTTAGCAGACATGTTTTAATAAAAGTAATTTATTTTATGATAATAAAAAAATATGAATATCAAGCCTAAGCGACATTAAATTGGAAGGAGAAGATGTAATTTATAGGAAAAATTGCCCCGATTAGGCCCACAAAAACAATGGTAATATTCTTGAATTAAGCACCAAAAGTAACAATGAATTTACGAGCAAATAAATGGCATGCTTTGAAAGGAAAGAGTGAGTTTATCTTTGGTTGCTCACACAGAAAAGAACAAGTCCATATAAGAGCATGAAAATTATTGACATTAATTACAGTTACGAAGCCCGGAAGCTGATCCCATAGCAAACGACCAAACGATACAAGGACCCCATGAAAACAGTTTCCTTCCCTCGATTAAAATTTAAACCCTTTCCACACTTCACTAGCAACCACCTAAGCCGGTGAACCGGTGAACTCCTCAAAGTTTCAAAGGGTCTCCACCGCCGTACACACTATATATCAAATTCTTGACGCATCACAACCAACAAGGTCCCATTGCCGTTTCACTTCATTCACTCACTCACTCCCTCTTCTCTCTTAAAATCCCATCATCATCACTCACTGCACGTTGCCGTTTTTAACAACGCTAAACGACGAGCCAAAGCGCGTTCAAAGGAACAGAACCGTCACTGACAACTGTACCTGTAAACGACGCTATGGCCGTGACCTTCACTGCTTCGTTACTCCGTTTCATTTCATCGCCACAAAATTGGATCTGAATTCTGATTCTCAATCTTCCGATTCTCCCTTGTAAGTAACTCAGCAAATTCTCAGTTCAAACTCTGTGAAATGATGAAAACGAAACTAGTTTGTTTTGTTTTCTTCTCACATACCCCACTCTGAATTGCAGAATCGAGGTTTCAACATTCTATTCAGCGACTCGCTGAATCGGTGAAGTGAAGAGAAGGTTCTAGAAGAATCGAATGGGAAAATCGTCGAGCAGTAACAGAGACTGGACGCAGGTGTACGCGATCTACGGAATGGAGCAATGGCAAACCCTAATCTTCCTCCTGTGTCAAGCGATTCTCTTCTCTGTCTTGTCGGTTATGTATCTTTTGTACTTCGATCTCATCTGCGCTTTTTTCGAGCGAATCTTCTCCGGCGCCGGCGGTTCCGCGCGATTCGCCGCAGGAATCACCGGCTCCGTTACGGCGCTCTCCGCGCTCTGTCTCTTCTTTGCCGCCGCAAACTTTTTTTACTCAGCCGTGCCGCTGCACTTCGACATGGCGCAGCGCATCGTCTCCGCCGTGCACGACTGGTCCTCCGTGAAATTAGCGCTGGACCTCGGCTGCTGCGGCCGCGGTATCCTCCTGAACGCGGTGGCGACGCAGCTGAAGAAGGAAGGGAGCTCCGGCCGGGTCGTCGGTTTGGACCGGTCGAAGCGGACGACGCTGTCGACGCTCCGTGCGGCGAAGATGGAAGGCGTCGGAGAGTACGTGACGTGCCGTGAGGGCGACGCGCGGCGGCTTCCGTTTCCTGATAACTACTTCGACGTGGTGGTGTCCGGCGTGTTCGTGCACACGGTGGGGAGGGAGTACGGCTCGCGTACGGCGGAGGCGGCGGCGGAGAGGATGAGAGCGGTGGCTGAGTTGGTGAGAGTGATGAAGCCCGGTGGAGTAGGAGTGGTGTGGGACCTACTGCACGTGCCGGAATACGTGCTAAGGTTGCAGGAACTGAAGATGGAAGATGTGAGGGTCTCTGAGCGTGTATCGGCCTTCATGGTGAGCAGCCACATCGTATCATTCAGAAAACCCAGTCAGCACGTGCATGGCCCCGCTGAGGTTCGCTTGGATTGGAGATTATGCTGACGTGGAATTTCTCTCACTTAATATATACATCTGAAGAAATATAAAAAAATTATAATTATATATACTGAGACATGTTTTGTTAAAATGTTTTTTTATTTATATATGAAAAAAGAGATATCCATGGATATCTGCAGGTAAAGTTATGGCTGGGGAGGCGAAGTCGAACCAGATGTTAAAAGAAAATTATATGTAAAAAAAAAAAAGTGGATGATGTAATAATGTGATGAGATAGAACTGGTGCCGGATTTTTGTATATGTTGATGATATATATTAATATTATAGATGGCAATGAAATTTTAGCATGTTAGCATGTTCATGGGTCTTAGAATGGATTGGCTGAAAATGGTACATGTGATTGTGTAGAACTTGTGTTATATTTTCGTAGAATGTTTTTATTTTTCTATTTTTTGCTTAGGCTGCAAATTTTTATTGAACCTGAAACAGAAAAACAACAAATTGTTTATTTGAAGTGTAATTTTGAGATGCGACAATCATTTTAATGGTGGATGAAACTGTTTACTTATCGGTGGCGGAAAAGCCGGTAATTGTGGGTTGAATCCGGAGGTGAAGGAAATGAGTTACTTTTGAATTTTAAGCTTGTTGAAGATGTCACTGTCTTTTATTTAATTTTTGGGGTTTCGAGTTTCTTCCCTCCATGTGATGCCGGATTCTATTTATAAAGGTTGAAAGCTAATGGTGATGAAAAGAAGGGGAAAAGAGTAGGTAGTGATATTTGTTTCCGGTGCAATTCAGTTTGGTGGAGGTTGTGTGTTGAAAAGATGGCGTGGACTGGTGACCTTGCTGAAGAGTCACAATCAGGGATTTTCGATCGTGAAGCTTTAACAAAGTGCCCGACGAGTTTGTTGCAAGTTTACATCTCATACTTTGAAGTAATGGTTTGTGGTGTTTGCTAGTGGTAGAGAACTGAAATGGTTTGCTAAAATTACACTACTGAGTTGGTCCATGTAGTCATTTAACTTTGTTTTGTTCTGCAGATTCGGGCGTGATCTTCAAATTTAATTTTATTAGGTTGGTATGTAATTGTGGTCAATCACAATTAATTGAGTCATAGCTTGCATAAGCTTTCTGGGGTTGTTGCTTCACTGTCAGAAACACTTGAAAGGTAATATATGTTTGCTTAAATGGTTTTACAGCAGTCAAAGCTTGGCATAATCTATGTATTGCTTACTCTCAAATCAAAATCATTAAGTGAAAATTATACGGTTAAGATATTTCCTTATTGAAATTATAACGGCGTTGATTATCTTGCATTTGCATAGTAGCCTTTCCCAGGACCACATGGTGCATGTGCTCCTCTAATTCTGACACTATAGGAGTATGGGGCCATACTTGCTATCCCATAAGCAATGACCACTTGGGACTTGACATCTAGGAGGCCATGATTTCCTTCGTTAGGTTCAATGTAGATACCTCATTTTATTAGAAGATAAATAACATTTTCAGAATTATCCATCACGTATAGTCCGGATCCTTTCCACTGTAATTTAAAATATCGAAAAGGATTCTGCAATGACCGTGTCGTCCATAATTGTCATAAATTGTAATCCTTATGGCTGTAACACATTAAAACTTGCCGTGATGATCTTCAATCCAGAGAAAGTGAGATGTGAATAAGAATTGGTAAATGCTTGTGTCTGCTTGCTTAAAAGCAATCATAATAACATAATCAACATAGAAGGTAAGCACTGTATTAATTAAGGTTAACTGAATAAAATAATCTTGCCTGTAGAGATATATCTCTCTGGGGTTCTTTTTCTTTCTTTTGGGGACCAGAAATATATCTCTCCATTTACCAATCTAATGTAAGTTTCTTGTGTGGAAATAAAATATTTTTTCCAAATTTTAATGCAAGGCAGGCCCACAAATGCCATAAACACTATAAACTATGCTGAGGTCAATCGTCAATGGTTATTTTCTGAAGTTGAATTTTTTTTTTTTTCAAATAAAAAAGGTACAAGCCAGGAAGGTTCCTACACATTTGTGTCTACATATACCGTACACCATTTTGTAAACCATGTACTCCTTTCAAAATTGAAACAGTCATGGTCAGCGTTCAGAGCAAGTTGCAAAGCAATCCATGTAGAAATTATCAATACGTTCTCTTTTATATCATATACTTCATTATGTCACATTACTATATGTTGCAAATAATATTCTTATATTCTTTGTCTATTTCAATGTAACAAAAACAACGATACGAGATTGGGTCAGTGGCACAGTTGTTATGGAGTACACGGTAACACAATTTCAGACAAAGTCTTGCTAAAGAAGGAAGAAAAGTGAAATAAATTGGATAAATTTTTCGTAGTTTGAGATGACAAAGGCACAGAAGATGAAAAGTGTACCAGTTAATTCAGCAAATATTGAGTATACTGCGTCAAGTGATCATGGCAAACTGAACCAAACCGTGACCCCATTACCCCCATGTGGCTATTTATTACTAGTGACTTCCTTATGGACATAAAACACCAAATTAATGCATCACATTACTTCCATCCATGTGTCTCCTATCTCTCTTATAGCATTCCAAGAAAAATTATATAACCATGCCAAGCTGTTATTTGAAAATTGTTTGATTTGTTTCTACGATACATGAGATGGATTGTGTGCTCATTCTCTGAAGTTGGGTGGTGCTTTCCATCTCTCAATTGCAGCCAATTTGTTCGAATGATTTATGTGTATTCGGCATCTGATTCATAGCCAATGACATTTTTTGATTTAGGGTAGCCATCGATAGACATTTGACCATAAAATTTTTAGAGAGTATACTAAAAATATGTATAATCACAGATTATACTAAAAATTATTAAAATAAACTAAAAATAATTAATAAAAATCTTAAGCTTTGTTTGAAGGGAAGATGAAGACTTATTGTTTCTGCTAGGAAAACACTAGTCTTCAGGTCTTTGTTCTTACTGTTGCGGACGTGGCCTGACGTGGGGAGGGTACCTATAAAAGGCATTCCGATGCTGAAATCAGAATTCGATTCTGAGTAATAACTACTATTTAATATGAAATGTCCACCCTTTACCTATACTTCTTACCTTCTTTTTATAGGCAGATATGAGCTAATGAGCTTGCTGAGTCAGCCTGATTTTAGCCCTTTAATTAAGGTAGATAATGATCTGTTAATTACTGCTAATTGAGTTAATTAGCTTTTAATCCTGACATGGGGTATTCGGCCATGTTAGGCCGAAGGGGTACTCGGTTACCTTTTTCTACACATAGGTCCGAGGGGTAGATAGGACCGAGGAGTGCCCTATCCAGTACACTAGCCCTCCAAGCCCGAAGAGGTACGAGGCAAGGGCTTAATAATAATACAAATATCAAGAATATGTAAGCGAGGAAGTACTTAGTTTTCTGAAGTGATCAGTGTTGTAAGGAATGCTTTGTTTAACTAACTTGAGAGGGTACCAATAAGAAAAAGTAGGTATACCGAGAGGGTACTCGGTTTTAATAACATAAGTAAACCGAGTAGGGTATTCGGTTAAGGTATAGTAGGTAGACTGAATAGGTACTTGGTTTATTGAAGAGCACACACCAAAGGGTACTCGGTTTAGTGAATGAGTGATTTAAACCGAGGGGGTGCAAATTAAAAACCACAATAATAAAATAATAATTAATGTGTAAAGATCACTTTAGGGTTTCAGATTTTTTAGGGTTTTCTCGAAGTGTGTATATGAAACGAAAGGGTGATCGATCTCAACTGTAGATCTAGAGAAGATCTGTCGGTTTAGAAGGGGTGCAACCCTTCGCATGCCCAAAGCCACAGGTTCTATAAATACATGGTGGTCCATGCTTTTATTTCTCACTTTTTCTCTGAACCGGGGGGTATATACTCTTGCTCTAAACCGAGGGGTACTCTGTTTTAGAAGTCTCTTTTCTTCCAACTGACTACTGCAAGGTACGCTTATTCATCCTTTCTTTTAAGTATTTTAGCATGGCCGAATCCTTAGGATGAGAGGACTCGTTGTCGAACTCATCGAGGCCGACTACTGTCAAAGTAGAAGTTGTAGATGGAACTGAAAAGGATGGTGAAGTCTCCTCGAGACCGAGTAGGGTGGATGAAGAAGGGGTAGGGGTCCATGTTAGAGAATGTAATGACAAAGTTGAATCATCAGGTTCTTCTGACTCTGAATCTACTAAACCCCTACCGGGCATTAGCCCCCTTAGAGAAAGACCAGTATTCCCACCTTGTGTGGTTCCCGGATATGAGTGGGTTCACGGAGAAGTAGCCGTCTACTTCTCTCGTTTCAGAAAAAATAAGAGTTTCCAGTTTTTTGTGGACAACTGGGGTATTTTTTTATGGGAGGCTTCGGATCCCTACCCGATAACCCTCGGTACTTGCCAAGGAGACAAGACTGAAAGCCTCAAATTTGTATTTTTAAGAAATGTTGGGATGACTGACACCTTTTTTATATATGAATACATATTTAGAGAATTAGGTATAAGGCTACCCTTTGATAACTTCCAAATGGGAGTATTGAGGGTTTTAAATGTAGTGCTGACACAACTTCATCCGAATGGGTGGGCGGCAATATAAGCCTTTAGAATTTTATGTAAGTTTCATTATATAGAACCTAGTGTAGGCTTGTTTCTCCATTTCTTTTGTACTCGTCCTTCAAATTTAACAAGGTGTGTATCTTTAATAAAGCAGCCTGAATTGCCATTATTCAAGCCTTACGCTTCATCTTTTAAAAGTTTTAAGACCGGTTACTTCAAGGTAACCGTGCACCCTGTAGGTAGAAATTATTTTTTTAATAGTGAGAACAATCTCTTCTTTCCCTTCCATTGGAGTCGAGTGCCTTGTCGGTATGACATTTTTCCCGAAGACATGTTGTCAGTTGGAGAGCTATCGGCCTTGGAATACCTGAAGTCTCTTCCCCGAGAGCTTCATGCCCGAGGACTAATCCTTTTGCTAAAGTATCCTCATCCACGTCTGGACATAAATGGTATGTTTTGTTTTTATAGTTAAGTTTTTGAATTGAGTGGTATTGATTTGACTTTTTGTTTTTATTGTAGGTTTGATGGCTCAAAGAGGGGTTGACATGCTGACATATCGTCAAGGCTTAAAGAGGAAAGCTCCAATTGATACGTCGGTTGAAGAGCATCGTTATCCCTACCTTGATCCTGTTGTTCCGATCGTGACCGAGCCCCAACCTCCTCCCCAAGACCTTATCCTTGTCGAAGGTCAGCCCAAGAAGCGCAAAGATAAGGGCAAGGAGAAAGAGAAAGACAAGGGCAAGGAGAAGGAGAGTGAGAGAGAGAGAAAAAGGAAGCACGCCCATTCGGCTGAACCGAGTGGTGCAGAGAGGGCACGAAAGCATGCCCAAGTTACTGTGACGGACGAGGCTAGCAACACTCCAAACTCTGCCATTCCCCTGGGGGTACTTCCTGAATCTTTCCTGACCGAGGGGGTCTAGGCTGGATGGATCGTTGCTTCCGATTTAATCTCCGATTCGGGAAGGGACATTGTCAATAACATGGACCACAAGGCTTTGTGGCAGTGCTACGCTGAGCTGCAGTTCCGGTCTATGATGATGCTTCGAAGGCTAGCTTTGGAGCCTTTGCTAGAGGTGGAAAAAATGCAGAGTGAGTGTGCCTCTTCTCAAAAGGCTTTAATTGATAGTGAAGAGGTTCGATTGAACCTTGTCGAGACCAATAAAGCTTTGGAGGCGGAGGTTACTCAGTATAAGGAGCACTTTCACATAGTAGAAAATCAGCTCCAATCCGAAGCAGGAGGAGATAGACGAGGCCTTGAGGGCAAAGTCTTTGGAGATGGAGGAGGCTCTAAGAACCAAATCTATTGAAGTGGAAGAGGCCTTGGCTGTTGAAAGGTAAAAAGCTGAAGCCGATATGAAGGCATTTGCTGATAAGTGTTCTGACAAGATGGTTGTCGAGCATGAAGCAGGCTTTCAACATGCTATCCGCCAATGCTATAAGTTTTGTCAAGTTCCAATTGACTTCCATTTCGATTCGACCAGAGACTTCTTCAGTGGCAGGTTCTTACCTTATGATGAAGTGGATGACAATTTAGAACTTGACACCGAGGCCCCTAGCCGAATCCAAGCTACTGAGAATGCCTCCGGTCCTGATCCCCTGGTCCTGATGCCAAAGAGGGAAATTAGAAATAGTCTTTTTTGTAATTTTTCTTTGTATTCATGGGTCGACAGTACCCAAATTTTGTACTCCTTTTATTAGAAATGAATACAAATTTTTCCTTGTATTCTCTTTCTTTGTTATGAGCCGACTACTTGTTATATAATAAATGAAAAATGTCTTAAACCTATTAGGTATAACCGAATAATGAAATTTGTAGATAACGCTTGTATGAATACTTGAAGGTATCCGTGAAGGTAACTGACTGTTTGATTCATTGTTGGGTGCTCAGGAAGGAATTAATTAATTTGACCTTCGCCAAGTAGAAGTACTTGAGAGGAAAGTTTAATAAATGATTCATCATTGATCGAGCAGGGGTACTTGGGAGAGAATTAATTAATTCGACCTTAGCAAAGTAGAGGTACTTGGGAGAAAATTTTAATAAATGATTCATCCTTAATCGAGTAGGAGTACTCAGGAGGAAATTTTAATAAATGGTTCATCTTTGGCTGAGCACGGGTACTCAAGAGGGAATTAATTAATTTGACCTTAGCTAAGTAAAAGTACTTGGGAGAAAATTTTAATAAATGGTTCATCCTTGACCGAGTAGGGTACTCGGGAGGGAATTTAGATAGATGATAATCAAAATAACCGAACAGCTTAAGAAGAAATTTTATTGATAATGTGTGCCTCGTTAAAAACCTTCCCAGAAAAACTCATTTTCACTTTCTTTTAAGAGGACAAAACTTGGGTAAGGAAAAGAGTGCACCGATTACATATTACAGGTATTTAACTGAAGTAATGTTTTAAATGCGTCACGTTCGAAGTCCTCGGTACTAGCTTTCCTTCGAATGTCTCCAACTGTTTGAATGTACTCCAATACAAGATATCGGCCGAGCTCCCCTGGTCAATTAGTGATTTCCGGACGGTGCAGTTAAGGATGTCCACACTTATGACCATGAGATCATCCTGTACTGGATCTACTCCCTGAAAGTCCTCGTCAGTGAATGTGATGGACGAGATCCAGATTCTACTACCCAAGGACACATTGTTGACAGAGCGTACTTGCCTCAAATGTCTTTTTCTAGCCGAATGGGTAGGTCCTCCACCTGCAAACTCACCAGCTATGGTATTAATAACCCTCTTCAGATATTTCTCGCGTTCATCATATCTTTTGGTAGGAGGTTCTCTTGACCGACTCCGTTGTCGTTCAGGCTGCTTATTGTCGTATCTCCTTGATGATTCGGGGTAGCGGTCTCTCCCCTTTCGGCATGATCGGTGGAGTTTGTTTGCCCAAATCCTCGAAGATGCCCGTTCTTAATCAAATCTTCAATTTTATCCTTTAGAGTCGTGCACTCCTCTGTCATATGGCCCCTATTGCGATGATATCGGCAAGATTTGCTCTTGTTTGCTCGAGGGGGGTATTAGCACGCTTAGGCATGCTCAGTATTTTTGTTGCTAAGGCTTGATTGAGTACCCTTGATCGTTTGGTGTTAAAGGTTGTATATAAGGGATACTTGGGGTCCTCTAGGCAGCTTTTCAGCATCATTTCTTCTGGCTTTAGTCTCTTGCCGAGACCCTAAAGACTCTCTCTTGTCCACTTCTTTGAAATTGGACCCCTGGTCCATTTGGACTTGGTTCCGATATTCAGCTAGCTCTTCCATTTGCATGTATTTGGCAGCCCGACTCCTGAGCTCATCCAAGTCCATGGGGGATTTTTTACATATGCTATTAACGAAAGGACCTGGCTTAAGGGCCGTTGTGAGGTGGTGCATGGCCACGGCTGGTTCCAAATTATGAATTGAAAGGGTCACTTTGCCAAAGCGTTCCATGAACTCTCTAAGTGATTCTCCCTTTTCGTGACGAATATTGACGAGTGCCAGGGATGTCAGAGGGTGAGGTCGGCTTGTGGTGAACTGTAAATTGAACTGTCTTGTGAGAGTTGCAAAAGAGTTAATGGACGAGGGAGGAGTCGGGTGAACCAAGTAAGGGCTGGTCCTCGAAGTGAAGTTAAAAAAATTCTACACCACAAGGAATCATTTTCTGTATATAGACCGACCTGATTTGTGAAGACATCCAAATGTTCCCTAGGGTTAGATGTGCTATCATATATTTCTATTGTTAGGCCTCTCTAGTTGTCAGGTAGTTTGCATCTAAGATATGATGAATAAACGGGTTTCGGCTCACCACATCGTCTCAGTCATTCTTGGTTTTAGATGGTTGTATCAGCCTTGGTTTCTCCTGTAATGCCGAGGACTCTCCCTGTTCCTGGGCGAGAGGTGTAGTTTGAGAGGGTACGTGCGTTCTTATCTCCTCTCTTAGATTAACATTTTCCCTTCTCAAGGCAGAAAGCTCAAGAGTATCTTTCTCCCTCTCCTTCTTCATTTCCATCATTTTTGTTTTGAATTGCCTCAAAACTGCAAAAAGGCTTTCAGCACCTCCCCCATCTACCAGCACCTCAGGGATTGGCTGGTTGGGTGTGGCTTCTTCTTGTTGATGAGTAGTTCCTCTATGTTGGGTCTATCCGTCCTGTTGGCTTCTTGTTAGTACCATGTTGATTGAAAAAGTAAGACAATCGTGTCCCACGGTGGGCTCCAAAATATTCCTACTAGGGAAACACTAGTCTTCAAGTCTTTGTTCTGACTATTGCTAACATGGCCTGACGTGGGGAGGGTACCTGCAAAAGGCACTCCGATGCTGAAGTCAGGATTCGCTTCTGAGTAATAAATGCTATTTAATATAAAAAGTTCATATTTTACCTGTACTTTCTACCTTCCTTTTATAGGCAGTGATATGGGCTAATGGGCTTGCTGAGTCAGCCTAATTTTGGCCCTTTAATTAAGGTAGATAATAATCTGTTAATTACTGCTAATTAAGTTAATTACCTTTTAATCCTAACATGAAGTATTTGGCCATGTTAAGCTGAAGGGGTACTCGGTTACATTTTCCTACAAGTAGGTTCGAGAGGTGGATAGGACCGAGGAATACCCTATTCAGTACACTTATGTAATATAATTTCTTATTTGAGAAATTTTATACGAAAAAAAAAGAATTTATAAATCTTTTAAACCCTTTTTAATCATATATTTTAAATTTTTTTAATTTAGATAGTTTTGAATTAACACTCATTTTTTCCTTATCTTTTAAATACTTTCATTTCGTTTCCTTTTAAATTCTTTAACAAAATTTTAAATTATTTTATTATTATTTTTAGCATGATATCATTGTTTGTACTCTCTCCATTTATACCAAAATTTAGGATGAATGGATACTTCGTGATTTCAACCATTCACGTGGTTATATATATTATTTTTTATTATAAATTATAAAAAATTTACACATGAATAATCAAGATTACATAATTTTAAAGTACTTAATAAATTTTTTTATTTTTCACTGTAACGAAGAATTGTGTCACTGAAAATGTAGGTCCCTTGACCTTAACAGCAATGGTGATGGGCCAGCTATTTGCCTTGGACAAGACAAAGTCGGCTATGAAATCAATTATATATATCTGAATCTAATGAACATTGATCTTCTAAACCCTTGAGCAACAGTGCAACATTGTAAGGAATGTACCAAAGACAATGATCCTCTGTTTCTTATAAATATACTCCACAATAATGTAGCTGGGTTTACCAAGAAAGATACTATCTTTCCTTGGCTACCTTTGTCAAAATGCAGGCCAGTACTGACAAGTATATTTTAGGCCAGGAGTCCTAGCTTTCTAACTCATGCTCTTTCACATTAATTTGGATTAATTTAGTAAGCATAAAATTAATAAACTGAACAAGGAAATGCGATATAAATCCACTTTCTATAATTTATTTTTCAATTTACAATGTGTAAAGTTTGAGAGTGGTGGCCTTGATATATATATATATATATATATATATATATATATATATATATATATATATATTTCAACTTTGACGATAATAATTTTTTATTTTAACTTGTCACATAGTAAAGTTTTTCTTATTGCTCTGTCCTTTTTTTTAGATCGCATTACCTTGATTACGCAAATTAAGAAAAGTTGTTAAAAATGGTTAATGTATTATTTTAAAAATTTAATTATAACATACCAAGTTTATCTATAGTTATATTCTATTATTATATCAATCATTAATAAATGAAAAAAAAGTTTAATAACAAGGGATAGATATGAAATTTTTTTTTATAAAACTGCTGAGTCTTAACGTTAAGAACATAATTTTTTAATAAAAAAATCCTTATAAAAATGAATGAAAAGAGTGATATTTTACAACACATTCTTATAATTCTATTTTATTTCATCTCTCTTTATCACGTAGTTCATCTTATCCTGTACTTCCCTCTCTCTTATCTCGTTTCTTTGTCATAAAGAAAAGAGAGTAAAAATAAGATTACTCTTTTGCTTATGGTGATACCTCCAACTTCAATGTCTTAATGAACAATGTTATCCAATAAACAGGTGAATATTACGTCAATTATACTATAAAACTTGAGGAATTTTAGAAATATATTTTTAAACAAACTCTTTTTAATATACTTTTAATTATTAATTAAAATTTAATAAAAACTATTAATTAAAATTTCATAAAAACTACAAAAATACAATAAAAATATTAAATTCAAAGTGAAACTCACATTATTTTTGTAATTTTTAATAAAATTTAATTAAAATTTTATTAGAAAGTGAGTTGTAAAGAATTTTTCGTAAAAGTTACGTGAAATTCTCCTAATAATAGGGTGCCAAAATAGTGTTCACTGATACTTTCTTCCTCATTTCTCTCCAGCAATTCAGGGGTAGTATTTTCTTTCCCTTGGCCAGGCACTTATGCCTTTATTAATGCCATAACCACGCGTCAAGAATTTACAAACTTTTCCCTGAGATGAACCCCTCAGCTTCAACAACCGTATCTTTGAGAATCTGAAAACAAGGAAATTAAACATATTATGTCCTTACATACGCATAAGAATAAAAACTTACTGGCTACCAGATTAGACGAGTGCGATGCAGGATCAACAATCGAATATCGAATACTCAATTAGTATTTGAGGATGGATACTAACACTGAAAAAATCCTTAACTAACAGTAAAAATTTATTAAAATTACAAAATTTACTTGAATTACACTCTTAATCATTCTCTTATGCATAATTTAATGTTTATTATTTTCCTCTATGTCCAATATGCAGTATGAATCTCCGTGGTTATAGAATCAGCAATAAGCTTTATAGCAATAGTAACTAGAAAGAGGGCATGAGTGTACATCCAAAGAAGCAATCAACCTTTCGAAGGAAGAATGGACATTGGTTGATTGCAAATTAAAGAATGATAATATATCAATTTTTATTAACATGTGCTTAACACTCCAACACCGCATCAAATGATTGTTAGGATAAAAAGGATAACGGGAATGTGAGATCAAGTTTATTTAGTACCACTTTACTAATTTTTAAGACATTACTTACATTCATGAGGAGCATCGTCTTCGTTGGCTGTCTTACTCCACTATTTTGGTAACTCGAATTCTCAGAACACACAAGAGAATGTTAAGGCTTTTAACGCACAGGGTGCAAAAGCCTTTTTTTCCCCGGACCACCAGGCAAAAAAATTACAAGCTTCCATAAAACCATTCCAACTTTACATTATACTTGAATATTCTACAAGGCCTATTTGCCTTAAGAGTCACAAGTAAATTAAACAAAACAAAACACAGTAATCAGTCGTTAAACATCAGTTAGAATTAGTTTGCCGCCACAAATTGTAGCTTAGTATTGATAGGAGCATCAAAACTTGTCCACTGAATTGGTGGGGAGCGCCAGGCCCTTGCTTTAGTGCAACGCATGGGCGACGCTTGAGAGTTCCAGTAGCAAGCTACTGTAATGAACCCTCCCCCTCAAAAAATTAATTTAATATCATGTGGGCCAATGACCCACGTATCAGATATTAAACTGATAAGAACAGATACTACACTTGATCTTAGCCAAAAGGCCGAGAAAGGTATGCTTTTGAAAGAGGAAAAACGCTTAATTTATAGTCAGGTCTTTGATGCACATTCTTTCTCCTCAGCAGTGTGGGACTTAGATATGAGCAACACAACATTGGGCATCCGATACACTTTCTTTCTACAACTCTGTGTGCAGAATATACTGAAGATCGATGAGCAACCATCCAAGTTCACCAAATCTTGTTCCCATTCTGGGAATTAGATGCATTCAATAAAAATTTTAAATGTCGAGGGTTGAGACTAGCTTGCTGTTGCTCTGCATGACAATGAGAAATCACAATACCACTCCTCTTTTAAATTGTAGTTTTTAGGTTTAGTGCTTTGAATATTCAAATTTTTCGAAGAAATATATACGCGTCCTCTAGAATCGAAATTCTCACGAACCAATGTATTTTTATTTAAGGGCATGGATAACATGATTCTGATGCATATCCATATGAAAGCCAATTTCATAGCTCTCAGCACAATATTGGTAAACGCAATTGACATTCTTACGCGAACTTTAATTTTAAATATTCAAATAGTGTCAATATTTATTTAACATATTTTATCTCTTTCTTTTCTATTACATCACATTTATCATTTCTCTCTTCTTTTCTTTTATCTCTTTTAAGAGTAAACACCTCAATTGGTTTCTAATAACCATTTTCGTAGACAAAGATTACTTAGAAACTATAAAGAATAAACAAATCTCACCAAAGAGTAATCGAAAATCAATTTCAAAGAGTTCGTTAACTTGATAGAGCATATATATTTTTAAAATTTTAAATATTTATTTTTATTATACTTTTTTAACGAATATGTTTATATAATCAACGGTTCTATGCATTGACGCGAGTCAAATTGTAAAAATTATGAATAAAATAAAAACTTTCACAATGTCAACAAAAAAAAAATTGTTTATTTCCATTTGTAATATTCTTCAAGTACAGATTTTTAGCATTATTTATTTGTTTGACAAACGTACAAAACCGAGGTCCATCATTTTCTCATAAAATGAATACATTGGCTATTTCATTTTCTATTGATAAAGAATGACGGAAGGTAAAAGGCTGAAAGCACTTACAACCTAACCAAATCCAAACCAAGTGTGTTTATATATAATGAAAATGAAGTGTATGCAAAAGAGTGTTTATATATAATATTCCTTTCGTGCAACCTCATTTAACAAATAACAATACAATTCTTGATTAAATTAATTATGCCTCTTGTTCCTTCTTGAGAAACGACTGTCTTCAACCTTCGCTCTGGTGTCCTTCTGACAATTGTTGATGTAGGAGGGTATCTGCAAAAGGCACTCCGATGTTGAAGTTAGGATTCGGCTCAGAGCAATAAATGATATTCAATAATAAAAAGTCAACCCTTTACTTGCTCTTTCTACCTTTCTTTTATAGACACTGTAATGGGCTAATGGGCCTGAGTCAACTCTGACTTTTAACCCTTTTCATGGTTTAGATAAAATTCTAATTATCATTTATCTTTGAAACTTAGAGGTACTGATTTAGACTAGGTATTCAGTTTCCTTTCTTCTATATGTAGGGTCCATCAATTTCCCTATCCCGTACACTAGTCCCCCAAGCCCGAAGAGGTACGATTTGAGGGCTTTAAATTAGAGGTACGGTCGGACGAGGAGGGATTTTCGCATAGTATCACCAAGCAAAGGATGGTATTCGGTTTGATGAACGGAAGGGAATACCGAAGGAGGTATTCGGTCCGATCAGTGATCAAGAATACTTGGGGGGTATTCGGTTCAATCAGTGATCCAGAATACCTGGGGGGTATTCGGTTCAATCAGTGATCCAGAATACCTGGGGGGTATTCGGTTCAATCAGTGATCAAGAATACCTAGGGGGTATTCGGTTCAATCAGTGATCAAGAATACCTAGGGGGTATTCGGTTACCTAGGGGGTATTCGGTTCAATCAGTGATCAAGAGTACCTAGGGAGGGTATTCGGTTTTTTAATAAAGTCAATGTAATCCAAGGAATTTAATAAATGAATAATAATAAATGTTCATTTAATACAAAATGGAAACGAATTCTTCTAGAATGTCAAGTACTTTTTTAGGGTTTCCTCGATATGTGTGCGTGAAACGAAAGGGGAGTCGATCCTCACCGCTCGATCTGGGATGAATCTGTCGGTTGGAGAGGGATGTGACCTTTCGTATATCCGAGGGCCCTCTATAAATATGTGGTGGTCCAGGTGTTTTGTTCTCTACTTTGTCTCTATACCGAGAAGTATATGCTGTTGCTCCAAACCGAAGGGTATTCAATCTTTCTTTTTCAAACCGACTTCTGTGAGGTACGCTTCATTCTTTCCCTTTTTTATCATGGCCGGATCCTTAGAATGGGAAGACTCGTTGTCCGAGTCGTCCACGCCGAGTAGTGTTGATAGTCAACATGCCGGGAAAACCGGAGGGGGGGTAGCACTTGGTTCAGGACCTAGTAGGGACGATGAAGGCGTAGAAATTTGCGTTAGGGAGTGCAATGACGAAGCCGAATCGTCAGAGTCCACCAATTCTGATTCTTCTGAACCCCTACCGAGCATGAGCCCCCCTAGGGAGAGACCAGTACTTCCCCCTTGTACTATTCCTGGATACGAGTGGGTGCACGGTGAGGTAGCTGCCTACTTTTCTCAGTATAGGAGAAATAAAGATCTCCAATCTTTTGTTGACCATGTGGACATTTCATTGTGGGAGCCGTCCGATCCCTATCCTATATTCATTAATCCTTGTCGCGGGGACGAAACCGAAGACCCTAAGCTTGTTTTTCGAGGGGGTGCCGATATGGCCGACACCTTCTTCATGTACGAGTATATGTTTAGGGAGCTGAGTATAAAATTGCCTTTTAATGATTTTCAACTGGGGGTGTTGCGAGTTTTAAATGTAGCGCCGATACAACTCCACCCGAATGGGTGGGCGGCTATCCAGGCTTTTAGAGTACTTTGTAAATTTCATTATATTAAACCTAGCGTAGGATTGTTTCTTCATTTTTTTTGTACTCGTCCATCGGACCTTGCCAGATAGGTATCGTTAATAAGGCAACCAGATTTGCCTTTGTTCAAGCCTTATGCCTCGTCTTTTAAGGGTTTTAAAACCGGTTTCTTCAAAGTAACCGTCCATCCTGTAGGTAGAAATTTTTTCTTTGATAGTGAAAATAATCCTCTTTTTCCTTTCCATTGGACCCGGGTGCCTCGCCGGTACGACTGGATTCCCGAGGATATGTTGTCGGCTAGGGAGTTAGCGGCATTGGAATATTTAAAGTCTCTTCCTCGAGACCTTCCTGCCCGACATGTACTTTTAGTATTAAAATCTCCTCAACCTCGCCTAGACATGGATGGTATGTTTCGTGATTGTGGTTTTTATTTTTGGGTTAAACGATATTAATTTGACCGGCTGCTTTTTATTGTAGGTTTAATGGCTCAACGGGGGGTTCATGTGCCGACATATCGGAAAACTTTGAAAGCTAGGGCCCCTGAGAACACGCCCACCGAAGAGCACCGACATCCTCAACTGGACCAGATTCCTATTGCGACCGAGCCGCAACCTCCTCCCCGAGACCTTGTTATTGCCGAAAACCAACCGAAAAAACGAAAAGACAAGGGGAAGGAGAAAGAGAAGGGCAAAGAGGCGGAGAGAGAGAAGAAAAGAAAGCACTCTCATTCAGGAAGGCCGAGTGGCTCGGATGGTAGCCGTCATCAGGGCCGGGGTGAGCTGGCCTCTGGCGCTGCCAGTTCCTCTAATAGCGTCTTCCCTTCTTTCTTTCTGACCGACGCCTTCTTCAACAATGGTGTTCATGTTGGCCGAGCAGTTGCGCCTGACCTGCTGTCGGATGCAGGAAAGGAGGCGATTAGCAATCTTGAGATTGAGTCCGTGTGGAAATACTTCTCGGAGTTTCAAATCTGAGCTATGATGATGCTCCGACGATTGGCTCTGGAGCCCACACGGGAGCTGAGAAAGGTTCAAAACGAGTATGCTGCCGCCCAACAAACCCTTGCAGAAAATGAGGAGATTCGGCAAAATCTGGCCGAAACCAATAAAGCTTTGGAAGCTGAGGTTATTCAATATAAAGAACATTATCATATAGTGGAAAATCGGCTCCAAGCTGCTAAACAAGCATTGAAGGCGAGGGAAGAGGAGATGGAGGCTTGGAGGGTAAAGTCTGTAGGATTGAAGGAGTCCTTGAGGGCCAAATCTGCTGAAATGGAGGAGGTCGTGGCTGCTGAGAGGCACAGGGCGGATGATGAAATGAAAGCTTTTGCCGACAAGTGTTCAGCTCAAGTGGCTATTAAACACGAGTCGGGTTTTAATCATGCCGTTCGCCAGTGTTATGGTTTTTGCCAAGTGCCTCCTGACTTCCAGTTCGATCTTACTAGAGATTTTTTCGGCGGTCGGTTCCTAGCATATAATGACGTGGATGAAGATTTAGAACCTGATGCCGAAGCCCCTCCACGAAGAAATATAAGCGACGATGCTACAGCCCCTGATGTAGAGGCGGCCGGTCCTGATACCTCTCGCCCAGAGAATTAGTTTAATTTCTGTTCTATTCATGGGCCAAAGTGCCCCATTTTTTGTAATCTTTTTAACAGAAATAGAAATTCTCACTGGTGTTCACTTTTTGCTAAAGAAGTTGACCATTTTTCCTTCTATATAACGATATTTATTCTAAATAGCTTCTTCGTTAAACCGAGCAGGGGTAGATAAATAATTTTAATCGACTAGGTGCCATTTAAAATATCATTAAAGTTCCATTCTTATTTGAGTAAGGGTAATTGGTCCGGGAAAGTTCAACCTTGAATGGAAATATAACTGATTCACCCTAATCGAGTGGAGGTAGTTTGCAGGAAAAAATTCATTTTTTAACCGAGTGCGGTATTCGGGACGTAGAATAGTTAATTCATCCTTAACCGAGTGGGGTACTCGGGAGGGAATTAATTCATCCTCAGCCAAGTCATACTTGGGAGGGAAATAGCTGATTCGTCCTTAACCGAGTGGGGGTA